GAGTTCTAAAATTCTTAATCATCTTCAGCAATCTTACCCAAATTGTTGTTTTTATACTGGCTGCAAATTTCGAGCTCAATTTCTGACTAGAAATCTTCGTCGAGTTGTACCGAGTAGATCTTACAGCATTTTAGCCATAAGTCGCACTGCTCCTGTTACTGTTATAACGTTACGTATTCTTCTGCCCTAATCTGTTTGTGCTGTGCGTTTCAATGAAGCTTCGATGGTAGTAGATAGTATCCCTTTATAAAGGTACAATTTGCCATGCGAATGAATATACTCTCCATAAGCAATATGTTTCGGCTGTGAATTTATGTCTAATGTTCAAGCCTGTATGAAAGTTTCAAACAGTAGTTTATTAAAATGTACAACAAAATAACAATAGCATATTTTTACTTTTGCGCTTTGCCGTGTTGATGCTAATTGCTTTAATATTTCAGGAATATTAATGATGTGCGGTTGGTGGTTCTTTTTGATCATTGGAATAATGATTGCCCGTTTTTTCAAGAATCTTTGTCCTGGTAAAACGATTTTAGGAGGAGATTTATGGTTTTTCGTAAGTTGGCATTTTTGTTCAAAGCTTCTCACCTCTGCAACAATCTGTTTTAGCTGCATCGAGCTCTCAATCTTACTGGCGTATTTCTTATAGCTGTGGCATTCATTTGCATATTTGTTCAAAGCCAAGGATTATGGACAGGCAGCGTAAGTAACTTTCAGAAAGTCCGCCCCGTGTGTATTATTCATTTGATGTTTGGCTAATCTGTCGCCTTTTCATTAATTCTCATATTTTTGAAATATGAGGGAGTCAAGCGCATTGGTTACCTGTTCCAACTGAGCATTTATTCATTTGAAATTTATCTTAGTTGCATTACTCGATCGTTATCCCTCAAAACATGCCATATTACTGATGTTCAGTCGCTTCGCCTGATTTATATTGCGCAGTCGTACCGTCTCTTTGATTCTAAATGTCCATGGGAACCATTTCATCAGGCCATTAAGGTCCTTAAAGTTTTCTTTGATAAATAAAAATATATACAGGTAAATGTTTATATACGGTGGTGTTTGGTGCTCCGTTCTTTCAATGAATGACTACATCTAAAAACCGAAGTTTTCCTTATCCTCAAGTGAACCGAGAACGAGCTTCACATTTTCCTGCACAGCAAAAGCGTCATAGCAAAACAAGAGGATGTTTGGATAATATACCAGATAACCGCTGTTGAGGCGAAAGTTGCATTGGAGAAACAG